GATGTGGTGGAACGGGATCTTCGTGTCCTGGATGTGCATCCACAAATCTCCATCAACTGCAAGATGCTATCCTATCAATATGGGCCAACATTTCTAAAGAATGCTTTCAGCACCTTGTTGAATCAATGCCACGTAGAATTAAGGCAGTTCTGAAGGCGAAAGGGGGTCAAACACAGTATTAGTATGGTGTTCCTAATAATCCTTTAGGTGAGTGTACACTGCAATTGTAAATGTCTGATCTGTGAATCTGCATATTACATATTCATTTTCTATGTTTACTGTGTACTTCTTTGTCTAGTAAATTATATGTGTAACTTTTTTGTACCTCGACTTTTTATCTTGGCCAGGTCGTCGTGTTGCAAAAGTTGGCAACCTATTAGATTAGGATGAAATTCAAAACATTTTGGGATGCGATTATGATTTTTTAAAGAAATGTTTTCAGCAAGGAAGCACAACTGTTTTCAACATTTATAATAATTTCAGAGATTTTTCTTGAGCACAAATCATTATAGCAGAATGATTTCTGAAGGATCATGTGACTTGAGTAATGATGCTGAAATACAGCTTTGAACACAGGAATAAATTGTATTTTAATATATATTGACATAGAAAACAGTTATTCTAAATCATAATAATCTATCACAATATTTTCATTGTATTTTTGATCAAATAAATGTAGCTTTGGTGAGCCGAAGAGACTCCATTCAAAATCAAAATAAAAAAGTCAGTTCAGCTTTTAAAAGCATTAGAAAACAGAAATATCTCCAAAACCCGAATTGAGAAAGCAGTCTTTTTCATGACTAGTTAAGTGTCATATCTTAGTATTTCAAAATGCATCCAAAAGCCTTTATAAAAGCATGTGTGTGTGTGTCTGTGTGTTGTCGCCCTCCCTCACAGGAGCCACGGTGTCTCTGTCTTATCACCATGCAACACACACACACCAGCGCACTGGCCAAACAACAAATTCCACCGCCTCTGTCACTCCGTCCACATCACACACGGCTGTCGCAGCTCCTATTCAACACTAAGAGAGAGAGAGAGACAGAAAGAAAAAGAAGAGACAGAAAGAGGTAGAGCTCTGGGCAGACAGGCAGTCTGGCCCTTCACGCTTCCTTTTGTGTGCGTGTTTGTGGTGGAATAAGGGCCGTCTGTACCAGGACCGAGGGTACGGAACATCCCTCAAGCGCAGTTGCTCTCTTGGGACTCTGATTCTGATAAGTGTTGCCTACTGCATGCTTGAGTGTGTGTGTGTGTGTACGAGTCTGGATGTCTAGACGAGAATTTTTCATTCCCAGTCCTGGGGACGCCCAGGACACAAACACAACCCCACACACACACACAGAGAGAGAGAGAACGTATTAACAGAAATGCAATAGAGAAAACCTAGTAGAAATTAGACATGCAAGACTTTATGCAATATTAAAATAACTAGTCAGTGTATTGCATAATAAACTTGCTCAATATGTATATATGTACATATACACATACATGTGTAAATAACACATACATACACATAGTGACTGTGGGGGCCATTTTAGTACAGTGAACTCATTGTCATGTTCAAGAAACCAATTTGAAATGATTCGAGCTTTATGACATGGTGCATTATCCAGCTGGAAGTAGCCATCAGAGGATGGGTACATGGTGGCCATAAAGTGATGGACATAGTCAGAAACAATGCTCAGGTAGGCCGTGGCATTTAAACAATGCCCAATTGGCACTAAGGGGCCTAAAGTGTGCCAAGAAAACATCCCCCACACCATTACACCACCACCACCACCAGCCTGCACAGTGGTAACAAGACATGATGGATCCATGTTCTCATTCTGTTTATGCCAAATTCACAAATGCTTTGCTGCATACCTCGGTTGTAACGAGTGGTTATTTCAGTCAAAGTTGCTCTTCAATCAGCTTGAATCAGTCGGGCCATTCTCCTCTGACCTCTAGCATCAACAAGGCAGTTTCGCCCACAGGACTGCAGCAAACTGGATGTTTTCCCTTTTAAAAATAAATTATATATATATATATATATATATATATATATATATGTTCAAGAAACCAATTTGAAATGATTCGAGCTTTATGACATGGTGCATTATCCTGCTGGAAGTAGCCATCAGAGGATGGGTACATGGTGGCCATAAAGGGATGGACATGGTCAGAAACATAGTCACAACCCCGATCATGTGACTATGCTTGGCAAATCGCGTCTGGGCGCGTGAGTGTTTAATCAGGCCGCGGCGTCTTCCTCATTCAGAAGTGTGGGGAAGTCGATCGACGGCTGTGGACGGGTGTATGTTTTACAAACTTTTCACTCTTGTGATCGATTTATGCTTTCAAGTTAAGCTTATTGTAACTCTTTAGAACAACTTACTGGCTGTAGGGAATTCGTCGCCGCTATCACGTTATGTTTAAAGAGGAATTGGTGAGTATTCTGAATGAATGAATGAGAATGAGCTATATGCTAAACAGTGGCACTGAACGTTGATATTAGCATTGCCTGCTTTAGACAAATGTTTGGATTCATTGTATGTCGTTATGAAGTATTGGTTGAAGTAATTTTTATTTTTACAAATGGATTTGTTTACTTTATATTAAGTATGTTTATATGCACCATGGCATTGGTTTGTTTGGAGTTTGTGTCGGTAATGCAACTTCAATATTGTTTTTTGATTGTGTTGATTTAATGTTGTATTTAATGTTTATTATGTGTATGTTGTGCATTTATCATTTATTTTGTAAGGATCTAGAGTTGGGTAATGAGAATATTTTAGTGTGGATTGAGCTAAAAAAAAAATGTAATGCAAACCTTGTTCCAATTCAGCTCTTATTTACTAGTCCTGTTGTGTACTATAGGGCAGGTTCTTTCTCTCTGGTTGGAGATAAATGATGGTGAGCTAAATTACTACGGTTGGGAGCCGATCATCTGAGCCACATCCACTGAACAGCCGCCCTTGTTGGTCTGGTAGGAAGGTTGTCTGCAGCCTGTCCCCCCCACACTTCTCCATATACTAGCACTTCAGTCCCTCATGCATATCTTTTCATCTGATGAACAATAACCTATGGATTAATCAATACAAACTTTCATAAAAACCCTTGTGGGTTGTTGCGCGTGGTCTTGACGAACGTCAACATCACAGGGAGTTTTTTTTCCATTTTGATTTTTTTTTGTTTTGTATACCATTTGTTGTAATCTTCATCATTTTATCTGACTTGAAAAATAACCACAAAAAGTGCACTTAACAATAACTGATTCAACTGCAGTCTGTCAATATTTTGAGTTTTTTCCTATTTTTCTTTTCTTATCTTTGGTTGCAATTATGTTTGTTTAATTATTTTCTTTCCAATATATGGTACCAGTACCAAAAGTAACTTTCTGTTTCTGTGTTGTTACTGACCACCAGCTCCTGTAGTCGAACTTTAGGTAAACTAGTTAACCTCACTAAATCGTTAATAGACAACAAATGTGATCTGTTTTTACAAAGCAGCTTATTATAAGTTCACACAACGGCCAACCCAACTTGTTGCTAAAGTCTCAAACAAAACTTTTAAATAACACTCAAAGATTCAGTCACAAGAATGTCTTCCCCATAATGGTGCTCACACTGAGAACGATTTGCAATGACAAGACAATATACATCAGCCCATGCATGAAGGTCTGCGGGTGTTTCTCAGAAGCAGCGGACGCCGAACAATTTCTATCGGCCCTCAAACTCATTCGTCTGGCCATTAACATGATGGATGTTGTCTGTGATATCTGAAACACTGAACATGTGATAGAACACGCAATTAAACGGCGGATGAACGGCACATACCGGCCACTTTTTCCCTGATTTAGGGGGATCAGAGGGGATTGTGGGTAAGGATAAGAAGGTAACGAGACACGAGCTGGAGATTTATTCCAGTCTTTTAGCCCGTATATCAGAGACAGATATGTGTGATTTCCTGTTCTTCTGGAGATGTCATTACCCGCATGTGTTATAAAGTGTAATGGATGGCCCCGGAGGAGTCGTTTGTGATAATGAAGATGAGGCCTGACCCGCTCTCAAACATGATTGCTCGTGTGTTCAGACACCCGCCGCTCACTCTCGCTCTTGCTGTGCATCAGATAAAGCACAGCTTAATTTACCTGCTACATGTAGGTACAAAATGATCAGTCGCCAAATGCTAAACAACAAAAAACTTTAGTGTAAAGTTTGCCAAAGAAATTCAGCAAGAGGCCTCGCTGATACCAAAACTGCTACTGATGTCTCTGTGAAATTGACATTTTTCTCAATTTTAGCCATTAATTACAGGCATTCAGAATTACAGTATAATTGAAAGCTATCATTTATAAACTTATACCGTAACTTAGCGTCTAACTCAAACACTGGCCAGTGAAATCGAACAATTTATTAGCCTATTTTTATCACTTGTAAATGGTTTAAAAGCATTTGCTTGAATAAGAGTGTGATCATGTATTGTAACGCTAGCCAAAGGATGACGGGGGAAAAAACAGATACTGCGTTAATTGCACTGATATTTTTTCTGAAACTTTTTAAAAGTGTATTTAAAAATATTTGTATACTTTTTCTTTCAATAAATATATATACACGCATATTTGTTTTGCATTAGTTAGTAATTAGTAAAATATACTTTTACTAAATATACTTAAAATTTATTTGAAAACATATATTTAAATAAAAAATATATACATAAAGAGTTTTAAACAGGACTAATAATACAAACAAAAAATTAATAGAAAACTGCAAAACACATTGGTTGCTTAGAAATATAATTTATCTGGATGATTATTTATTTATGAAATTAATAACTTTTACCATGGTATCACCATGATGTATGTGTATGTCCACAGATGGCAGTTGTGTGATAGTCAGCTGGTGAATTATTCATTCTGAATCCAGTGCACCTTAAAATAATTTGTGTTCCAGGAGGAAGTGAAATGTCACTATTCTATAATTAAATAGAGACAAATATTTTGTTTTGAAAATAAACCAAATATTAGAGTGAAGAGGTCAGGTGGGTGAAGAGGTGGAAAAGGACCGACAGGGCCGCTGACGCCAGAAAGAGAGTTCATTTGATGTGCTTACCTTCAGACGGTCTTTAGGGAGGGCCACAGCACCTTTCTTGATGACCTCTTGAACTCTCTCCACTGATAGGTCACTTCCTGCCTGCTCCAGTCGCTGGCTGAAGAATCCAATCACCTGAGACACAAACACACACACAGTCAGTAGCTGTATAGCCAGTCACTGTGGCTCTTTTTACATACGTCATAAAAGACTTGTGCCTCAGAGCGGCAGATGTACTCCTAGCTAATGCCAAGACATCAGTGCAATGCTGTAAATGATGATGTTTGCACAGTGTGTGTGATACAATATCCCAGAATGCAATGTAATGATGAATGAATCAACAGCAATAATCAAACATCTTCATAACTCATCGAAGTGTCAAAAGGGCAGAAGAGATGTGTCTAAACCAGAAAAAAGCAAACAGAACCATTATAATCAAAACTAATTGAAGACATTTGTACGAAAAAAAATGTAATATGCAAAATGACTGTACTTATTTTGTAACTGGATTTCTGAATTTTAGAAAAAAATGTGGCATTTTGTTATTCTTATTCAGCACACAGTTTACACTGTGCAGTATGCAGTGCACTAGTATTCCATTAATTCAGTTTTGGATGAAAGCAATTTTATTCTGCGTGGTGTGTTTAAGGCTGGAGGGGGTCATGCAGCATTAATGCACCAGTGTGAGTGTGTGTTTAAAGAGGGAATTTACTTCCTGACTTCTGTAGATTACCCCTTGGGATTCGACTGCACAATATAAAGCAGTGGGTTTAGTGTAAACTTCACCTATATGAATGTTTGCACTGAGGATTTTGAACCATGTGCTTCAGTATCATCTTTAGAAAGTGATACGGACAGCCACATATCTAAAAAAAAAAAAAGCAAAAGCAAAAGCTCTGTTCCAAAATCTAATGAGATGCCAATCTTAGGCAATACATTTAGGCAAATAGGCAAAATACTTCAGCAGTACAGTGATGGCGACATATACCATAGTAGGTCTTTTTGTTGTTAAAAGCTACATAGTTTTGATCAAACTCAATGTTTTTACATATTTTAAAATAATCTTCACAACATGCCAATGTAAAACTCTACTGGAGACAATAGCAACTGTGTGAATTGCTGCTCATGGAGAGTGTTTCAAATCAGTCACAGCTAGGATGGCGTCTAAGAAGGTCTGTGTATACACTAGATCGCCCACTATGGTTTGGATCAGAGCTGGAACACACATTCAGTGTCTCACCGTGTCAAGGTTCTGCATGATATCCTGGAAAGAGGGATGCGAGCGAAACTGTTCGAACAGTTCTCGCTTATAGAGCAGCGCGTACAGCAGGTTCGGGTTGTGATGGAGGGAATTACTCAGACAGGAGTTTATAATCTCCAACATCATTCTGATCACCTCCTCGATGACATTCAGATCCTGAGCCTGATGGGGAAAAGAGAAAATGCAGCAGATAATGACAGAAGTAATGAAAAAGTTTCCTCTGCATTTTATAAGGCAACTGATGAGTGATTTCTGAAGGATCATAATGTGACACTGAAGACTGGACTGAAAATTCAGCTTTGATCACAGGAATAAATTACATTTTAAAATATATTCACATATGTTAAACTGTAATAAAATATGTCACATTAATACTGTTTTTTACTGTATTTTTGTTCAAATAAATGCAGCCTTGGTGAGTAGATGAGAATTTTCAAAACCATTAATAAATCTCGTCAACCATAAACTTTTGAACGGCTTGATCAGAAAAAGTGATCCAAACGACACTAATTGACTCCTGACATTTGCATCCCTGGTTCAAACGCATGGACTAACATGCTGTCTAGGAAGGTGCCAGCAGTGCAGAGAACACCACACCGTGTGTGTGTGTGTGTGGGTTAAATGGGTTAACATTTCCCTGTGCTCTGCTGCAGTCTGGGCGGTCACACTTTTTCTGGGTCACACACACACACTTAAAGCGGGGGCAACAGAAATGCATCTTTTCTCTCTTTCTGCAGCCGCATCATATATATTTCATGCATCAAATTGAAGCATGTTTGAAGCCAAGGCTGTATGATGTATAGATTGTCTGTGTGTGTGCTTTGGGGTGAACCCGGGGTGTTAGGACGGGTATAATTGCTTTACAAAACTATAAAGCATTATATTTTGAATAAAGAATTCTAAGAGCTTTAGTACTAAGGGACTGCTTCAAAGAGTGCAATTCATTACAAAATGCACAACATAACATGCCAATATACTGTTTAAACATTTGAGCACAAGCTATTATAAATGTATTTTAACTGTAGTAGCTGTTGTTTATGAGAATGTCTTCACATAAACCATTGCCAAAAGATTCTTCCCTTCAGTAACACAATGCATTTGACATTCAAACTCGTTAAAACATTTTTTTTTTTCAAAGCCATGTCTCTGAAGAGCCTTCGGTCAATGACCTTCGACCTTCTCATTTCCTTTTCTCCCACTGTCCTTCCCTATACAGAGTCTCTGCCTGCAGCCATCTCGGCCTCTTCTTTATGTTATTCATTTATTGCTAATTCTCAAGACTGATGTCAGTTTCCGAGCCACAAATCTCTCTGGACAAAAGCAAGTCAATGGAACAGAATGTGCAATCCGGTTTCCATAGGAACGAACACACACACACACACACACACACACTTTGTGTGGAAGCTAAGAAAAGTGATTTTAAGAGATGACAGCTCGAGAAAGTTCAGAGTGTGTGTAGTGAAACACAAAAGCCAAGGAATGTACAAAAAAAACACAGTTTTATGGAATTAGCTTCAATGACTGTACGACAAACCACCACACCATCGTTTAAAACACTGCAAACATAATTCAACTCCTGAAAGAGAGAGAAGAGAGAGAGAGAAAAGGAAATAGAAATGAAAGAAAAAACAAAGAAATACTAATATAAGATTAAGAAAAGGAAAGGAAAATAAAATGAAAGGTAAATAAAATCAAACAGAAAAAAAGATAGAAAAAATTAAAATAAGAAAACATAAAAAGAAAAAAGGATCAGAGGAAACGTAAAATTAGTAATAAAAATACAAATAAATAAATAAAATTAAAGTAAAACAATAAAAAACAAAACAAAGAAAAGAAACTCATCCTGAAGTGTTTTTGCTCCAGATATGAACGTTTCTTCAGTTCTTCTTCAGCTGCTTCTTAAGGAAGTGAGACAGACTCGCATCATGACATATGGGTGGTATGATTTCATTCATACTACCCATATTATTACAATATAGAACATATTTTGAAACGGTTGTGAAGTAGCAGCTAGTCAGACAAAACGTGATTTCGGATTTCACTCAAAGAGCCAGAGACGTACAGTACTGTGCAGAAGTCTGAGGCACACTAGTATTTTCGCCTCAAAGAAATGGTTTTAAGCCATTATTTACGTATTTTGTTGTAGTGTCTCAGTAGGAAATATCAGTTTACATTTCCAGACATTAATTGTGCCATTAATTGTAATAATCCAGTGAAATCCACGGAGGTCGGATCTCACCATCATCGAGTGCCTCTGAAATTATATGAAGAAACAGAAAAAACAGAGACTAAGACCAGAAGAACTGCGGCATACAATACTAGTGTGCCTAAGACTTCTGCACAGTACTGTACGTGTGTAAAGCGCTCAGTCCTGCTGACCTCAGATTGAATCAGTCTCACAGTGGCACAAGTGCCAGAAGAACAAGGGCTTTACTGGAAAGACAGCAGGTTTTGGAAAGGCCTTTGTGATTACTGCAGTTTGTGTTCTGCTTGAGACTCACGAACACACGTGCACACCAGTAAGCCGCCTTCAGCGTCCCCATACAGCACCATCTGTTAATACCTGAACCGGAACACCATACTTAATGTCAGGACACGTATAAAGGCGAAATCTCACACCAACGCATGATGCAAGACCCTGAGAATGTGTCATTTATGCGCCTCTAGTGGCAGCAAACAGAACTGCAGAAATAATGACTGATTTCAAACAGGTTTTCGTGAAAAAGTACAGAGCCCTTACCAATATTTCTGACCCTAAAATTAGGGATGTGTTGAAGTTCAAACAGAATGGCCCAAATACATAAACTGAAAAAACAACAGACGTTTTGAGAGATTTCAAGCTGAACCCTATCCGGATAGTCGAATATTTAATGCTTTCATTATTTCTTATATCCCTTTCAATTCTTATCTGCTTCTATTTTGGACAATGTTTGAATTTTTGTATTCATAGCACTTCTCAAAATATTGCCTCCTGAAGATGAATAGCATGCTGTATTCCTCATTTGTTACTAAATGAATAAATGTAAATGTAAAGTGATAGTTCACAAAAAAAGGAAAAGTCTGTAATTAAACTTGTACAACTGGTTAATCTTCTAAACACAAATTATGATATTTTTAAATCAAACCTGGGAGGTTCCTGATCCTCCACTTAAAATCCATGCAACTTGCAAAAGATCCAAACAGATCATTACGACATTGCGAAACTAATCTCTATGAATTAACCCGTGTAATATAAGTCTTGTGAAGTGATATGATCGCTTTAAAGGGATACTCCACTTTTTTTTGGAAATATGCTCATTTTACCACTCCCCCAGAGTTAAACAGTTGGCTTTTACCGTTTTCGAATGTATTCAGCCGATTTTCTGATATTTAGAAGAATATCAGTAACCAGACAGTTTCTGGTCTCATTGACTTCCATACAGGAAAAAAATATACTATGGAAGTCAATGAGACTGTCTGGTAAGTGATATTCTTCTAAATATCCGAAAATCGGGTGAATGGATTTGAAAACGGTAAAACTCAACTGTTTAACTCTGGGGGAGTGGTAAAATGAGCCTATTTCCAAAAAAAGTGGAGTATCCCTTTATGATGAACACATTTAATTTAGGCTTGTATTCACATATAGCTTGTCGTTCTGTATATGTATGTGTGTTGATCAATGTTTAGAGGCAAATTAAATCTGTTCATCACACAAAGCGATTGTATCTCTTCACAATACTTGGATTAAACCGCTTGATTCACATGAATTTGTTTTATGACGAAGGTTTGGTTACATGGACTTCCAATGGAGGGACAGAAATCTCTCTGGAATAATTTAAAATCGCATAATTAGTATTACAGGATTGGAACGACATTTCATTCTTTGGTTATTAACCATTTTTGGCTAATCCATTCAGGTTTATTTCTACAGTGCGGATGTCGAGTTTGCAGAAGTTGTGCTGATGACATAAGCCCAGCCGAAGCCCTCCGCTCTGGGTCGTGTTCCTCACACCTTCCCCTTCCCACCAGACAGAGGAAATTCCTGCCCTCCGTTCCCATGACGACCCCCTACATGTCGGAAAAGATCTGCGGACGCAGCAGTCGGGAATATTAACGGGGTGGGAGACTGTCGCCGCTGTTATTAACCAAATTTAAGTAGATACTTATGAAACAAACGTGCAGGACGGGATCAGACCAAACCTGGAAATTCTCGTCTAGACCTGCGGTTCTCAACAAACAGGTCAAAGGTCCGTTCAAACTGGTGAACAAAACTGGTCAGGTACTTGACGTTCGAAGTGAAATGTGGGCCGTGAAGCAAAAGCAGTTGAGAAGGACGTCTGGGAAACCAGATCAAACTACAACCTAGAAAGACGCTGGAGGTGTCTAGACAGAAACAGGGAGTGATAATTAGACGAGAAGAACGTAGGAGTGAATTAGGGATGAGAGCGATATGCTCTACAGTACAGACTAATGAGATTACACACACACACACACACAGAGAGAGAGACAGGGAAAATCAGGTCAGATGTTAATGTGTGAACAAATCCTACACAGACACAATCAAAGCACTTCTGTAGTGCTTTGATTCAAGTATCTTCTAATCATCTAGTCTAATACACACAGATGTTATGCTGCAGTGTGATATTACTATTTTTCATTAATATCAGTCTGATGTACATTCATCAGAAGAGTCACTGTGAGTGGAATGCACATAAACACTACTGTTTGGGGGCAGATTTTTGTAAAGAAATTCATACTTTATTCAGCAAGGTGGCCTTAAATTAATTAAAAGTGACATTCATTTATGTTTTTAATATTCAACCAGGAACCCTGACAAATATTCATAATTATCAGAAATGTTTTTTTAGCAGGAATTCATCATATTTGAGTGATTTCTGAAGGATCATGTGACACTGAAGACTGGAGTAATGCTGAAAATTCAGCTTTGATCACAGGAATAAATTACATTTTAAAACATATTCACATAGAAAACAGCTATTTTAGATTGTAATACTATTTCACAATATTACTGTATTTATGATCAGCCTTGGTGAGCAGAAGAAAGTTAAAAATATGTCTGCATGAGAAATCTGAACAGCGTGGGTTATGAACCAAAGATTAACACTTATGGTAAAGGGTTTTATTACATCACTAACTGTCAGGACATATGACTCATAAACCTA